CCTTGAGCTGAAGAGCTGAGGGACAGCGCCCAGGCCCAGAGTTCAAGCCCCATAACCGACCAAAAAAAAAAAAGGGAAAGAGGGGGGGAGGAGGGAGGAGAAGGAAGCACATTTTTTTCACGGTGGTACAGATAGGCTAATGTCAGGAGATTTGCTGTAAGATGGAGACTCTCCTAAGAGTTTGGAAAGGCTTCAGTGCCATTAGGGGGGCGTCCTTTCCGGAGAGCTGAGCGGCACCCACATACCGTTCTGGGCCTCAATGACCGCAGGCTCCACCTTGTCAAGGTCCTCCTTGACGCTCATCTGCTTGTCAGCAATCACCTCCTGCTGTTTGTGCAGCTGCTCCTGGATTTCTTGGCTCATGACCTGGAGAGGAAAGATGGCGCTGCTGTAAACCTCGCCGACCAACATACAGCTTCCCTGCTTCTCATGGGAGTGTCCAGCCCCCAAGGCCAGTTTCCTGGAATAAAAGGAAGTACCTTTTTCTTCTCGGCCTCCTGTTGGTCCTTCACCATCTTTTTCAGCTTGTCATTGGCTGCCGCGTTCTTCACCTCTAGTTCCTGGCTCTTTATCCTCAAGTCCCGACGCAGTTCTTCTACCTAAGGAACGAAGGAACACGCAGCGACCACCCTGAGCCACAGGGGTCTCATGCAGCCCGTGGGGAGGCCTGCGCCCCACTCTACCTGGTCTACTGTCTCCTTTATTTTCCTCAGCCCAACGTTTAAGTGCATCTGCTGCTCCTCCAGCTCGCTGCGCTTCTCGTGGAACAGGTTGGCGTAGTGGTTGATGAAGTCCAGGTAGTGGCGGGGCGTGATGGCCATGGTCCTGCCCCCTCGCTTCGCCAGACGAGCGTTAGCCTTTCAGAAAACAAAGTAAAATCTTTTCATACTCTGCATCGTCTCTGTGTTTTACTTCATTTTTTGCCCAGGCTGGTATTGAACTTGGATCCTTAGATCTCAGCCTCCTGAGCAGCTAGGATTACAGGCATGAGTTACCAGCGCTTAGCTGATAGTTGTATCTTTTTTTTTTTTTTTTTTG